CTCCTTGAGTTCTTGGTATCAACTAATTTCTCCTCCCACCCCCACCCTCCCTCATGAACCTTTGATAATTTATCTTTTTTTTTTCATGTCTTACACCGACCGCTGTCGCCTTCACCCACTTTTCTGTTGTCCAGCTCCCTGGGAGGGGTTTATATGTTCATATTGTGATCGGTTCCCATGTGAAGACTATTTTAACTGTGTTTTGCTTTATATTTTAACTTTTCAAGTGGCTTTACTTTTGTTAATTTGAGTGGTACGACCTGTTTTATAGATAAAGAAAATCTATGTTCTCAGGATGGTAAGAAAATGGCTTTTCTATCCATAGTCCATAATCCATTGTTACCGACAAAATTAACATCTTTCTGATCTTATTGGTTGATGAACCAATTTAATCACAAATGAGTTACTTATTTTCTTAGGCTTTTCTCAATAAAGGGTACAAGTAAAATATTTCTAATCCGTGTTATAAAAAGACTTTGATACCTTTTACAGTTTGCACTGTGACTCTAAAGGTTTGGTTCAAATCAGTTTCCAAGGTTGATCATAACAGTAGAAAGAAAGATATGCATATAAGACCCAGGTTATGATTGTTATTTTATATGCTTACATTGTTATTTTATATGCTTACATTATGTTTATAAAATGCAAATCTATTAAAACTATGTGCTCTAATAAACATTTGGGAAAGGATGTTAAAATGAAAGGATGTGAAAATTTGGTATTTATAAAAAATATTTCTTTCTATTCTATGGTAGAAACATTTCCAAATAACTTATTGTTTCATTAATACAATAAATCTTTCAGTTGTATATTTTAACTTTTCTAGGGGAAAGCTACACACTAGTTCCTTGCACTTCAGTAGTTCATTTTTATTAAAATATGTGGTTCTTTTAAATGGGTTTATTAGAGTTGTCAAACAAATCTTTGCAGGAATCTTTGCCAGGTTGGTTTAATCTTAGTCTAAACAGCAGTGGTTGCACCTGAACATTTATACACCTTACTTCTTCTTTCTCAGAACCTAGAAAGTTTATAAAGATATTGGGTGATTTTAAATTATTTTCATTATCTAAGGACTTGGATGTTATTATTTGAAAACTTTTGGTCAAATTTCAAGTCCAAATTTAGGTTTTATCAATAATAAAACCTTAATCACACTGTAAATTTGAGTCAGAAGTCTAACCCAAAATTTTCTTTTCTTTTTTTTCAAATTTGTATTTTTTCAATTAAATTATATTGCAGAATCATTTTGATTTCAAAATATTTCATTAGTCAACAAAATGCACTGGTGATAAATGTATTTCAATATATTCTCCAGGAATTATACTTATTTTTTCAATAACTTTCATTATCATCAAAGTTTGTTGTAAATATTTTAAAGGTACTGTGAGATTATGCTACGATGGTAAGCCATTTCTGCACAAACCCAAAACAAAACTCACTGCCATTAAGTAGTTGCTGACTCATAGTGACCCTATAGGAAAGGGTAGAACAGTCCCTGTGGGTTTCTGAGACTGTCACTCTTTACAGAGGTAGAAAGTCTCACATTTCTCTTGTTGAAGGGCTGGTGGTTTTGAACTGCTGAACTTGTGGTTAATAGCCCAATGAGTAACAACTATGACATCGGGGCTCACCATCCTGCTGAAAGCCAGCATAAATTTATTTTAAAAGCCTCGAACACAAAACCAACATTATCAGCATAAAAATAATGGAGTATTTGTGATCCATTTTCAAGGAAAAGAACAATGGGTAGATGCCAACTTCAAGATGAGCAAGATGTTGAAAGTATTCATTATTTTAAACCTGCTTTTATAACTATATTCGGAGATATACAGGAAACTAAACTTGAATAAAAGATGGAAAAACTCAACTGAGTAGGGGGAATTATGACAAATAGTCAAAATTCAACTGAGTCAATATTTATATTAATGATTAAGGGCTTAAAAACTGATTAAGGGGAGAGATTTTCAAAGTACATAAACTAGCAAAATGTAATTATATATAAAAAATCACCAGTGTGTTTGCACAACATGAATTAATAAAAAACAACAAATGACTAATTGTTTGATTTCATGCTTTCTTTGGGTTAAAACAAATTGAAATTTAGGTTGATAGTATATGGAAGAAAGTGGTTTTGCCATATAACTATCAGCAAAAAGATGGACTATGTTAACAACAGAGACCATTAATATAATCAGAGATAGATTAAATTATCAAAGAAAATATTATCAGAGATAGAGCTATTCATAATGATAAAATAGATGATTTATCAAGAAGATATCATAGTAGCAAACATTTTTTGGTTTAAAAACAGATCATCAAAATGAATTAAAAAAAAGACATAATTAAAGGGTGAATTTAAACTATCAACTTTTTAGTTAGCCTCAATTCATATTAATCAATACCATCCTTCTATACCACAAGCAAACAATTCAAAAAATGTTTTAAAACAGTTCTATGTTAAATTGTGCAAAAATTTACATTTTTGAGCAATGAATCTAGTAAAAAAATGAAAGACTATAAAATGTTGCTGAGAGAAATTAAAGAAAACATTTTATTGTACAGAAATAGTAAATCAATAACAATAGATGGAAAGGTAGAGGGAATATTTTAAAAAGCAATTGGGTTTCAAGTTAATTTTGCTAAACTTCATTTGGATTTAGTTCCTATGGCTCTGTATCATGTTCTGTCCCTCAAACCGAGCAATAAAATTCTTTCACTTTAAAGGAATAAAATGTCAAATATGAACAACTAATAATGTAAACTTTATTTAAAGAAATCTGTGCCTAAACTAGGGAGATTTTTTCTTTTAAAACAGGCAACAGCAGCATTACCTATTGTTCAAATTGTTCTTATATTTCCAATCCTGACAAAGGTCACAGTATCTAATGTCTAAGTAATTATTATTTTTTTTTTAAATCAAATACTATTTGAGATTCTGGTCACTTGTCATTTTACTGGTCAACAACACAGTCAGTAGTTTCTATAGTCTAAGGATAGCCCTGGTGGTCATTATCTAAGTATGTCTGTAGACAGATGCTGAAAAATCACCAGTATTTTTGCAAAACTATGAATTAATGAAAAACAACAAAAGACTAATTGCTTGCTTTCATGCTGTCTTTTTGTTAAAACAAAACTCATGTTCAAAGAGTATCAGCTAGTAGAACTTAAAAATATATATATATATGCCATTATATTTCCCTTTCCAAATTAGTTTTTAGTGTAAATTCATGATTATTAAGTTACTATATCTGGAACAGTTTTTACTAGTTCTTGAAAACATCTCAGAGGATTTTTCTCTTTTCTTGTTAAGCATTTGAGGAAATTTGCAATGTTAATCTCTCAAACTCCTAAAAGCTGCACAAATTGAAGATTCCTGGAGAGTTTCTTTGTAATGAAGAGCATCATTATCCAAGGACTTGGTGAACACTGCAACACAGGATTTTATTCGGTGTTTGCACCATATTCTCCTGCCTGGGAAGCCCATCTGCATTGCCTCAGGAGTCCCTCTTCCCTGTTTTTAAGGGTGGCATAAAGATCAACTGTCAGAGACTATGTGTGCCAAATAATGGAAACAGAGACAGTCCCCTGGTAGAGGTATGACCGCCAAAGAACATTTGTGATCACTTTCACATTCAAACTCGGGACTAGCTGAGAGTATCATTCCTACATGCCATGCTAACTCCAATTCTGGAGATTTTCAGTAAATATGCTGCATATTAGTGTTTGAAGCAATTCAAGAAAGAGTATATCTTATCATTAGTAGAGGGAAATAAAGTAAATATAGACCATCTACCAGAACAGCAATAAATTAACAATTCACATGGAGGAAAAGGTAAGTTGTTTTGTGTGTTGTTTTTTAACTTATTGTTTTGCGTGTTGTTTTTCAACTTATTTTTGATACCTATGAATAATCACCATGAACAATGACATATATTGACCCCCCCACCCCCAAACCCCACCCCCCAGGTGCTACCTGAAAAAGGAGCTGATATTGATTGATTAACAAGAATACATATGTGGATTTGAATACCTAAAGTGCAGTTATGAGAGCGGGTTTTCTTAGGGCAGTAGCATATGACTTTGATGTTAATGCTACTAAATAATTCATGATTAGAGAAAAACAGACTATCTTCCTAGTGAACACAAAGATGAAAGCATATTAACTTTCTTTTGTTGGAATGATAAGTTCAGTCATTCCCACTCCCGCTGGGAGAAAAAATTTATTTTTATATATTTGAATATACATATACATATCCTTATATATATGCTTAAAGATATATAAATATATATGGCCTTAAAGATATAAAAATATCTTTATATAGTACTTTATATATCTCACTGCCATTGAATCAATTGCAATGTACAGTGACCCTATAGAACAGAGTAGAACTCCTTTCATGGGATTCTGGTTCTATAAATCTTTATGAAAGCAGAAAGCGTCATCTTCCTCTCAGGGAGCTGCTGGTAGGTTAGAACTGTTGACTTGTGATTTGCCGCCCAATGCATACACCATTATATTCCAAAGACCAGGACATTATATAAAATCGGGGGCTATCTGAAAATGGAGGATGATGACAGATTACAAAATAGAAGATGACTGCATCGCAATGTATCTGCCAAATGACATCATCACATACTTGCCAAATGATATCATTCCATTATTTCCAAGCTACTGGAAATCATAGCTCAGACAAGGTAACCCGTGTAGCCTTATCGTCACTACAGTATGAGTTCCACCTTACACCTCCGCTTTAGTTACTGCAGAATCAATACACAAACCAGTTCCCCTCAGTCTGCAAAACATTCAGATATACTTTTACTATTGTCACAACTGTAAAATACTGAAGCTCAAGATGAGGATAGATACAAATATTGCTTTCACAAGGAATGTACGGTATAGATTGACATCATAATCTTAAAGAACAATGTTCCAAGAAGAAAATAATTTTAAGTAAATTATTCCCTTAAATAGCAGAATGACGATAAATACAGGTACTCACCTAATCTCTCAATGGAATAATATCTCTGCTTACTGTCCACACGTACTGTCTCTGCATAGGGGCTACCAACACCATAACCAATGATGTAGCCGCGCACGACAATGTTTGGGTTCAGGGGAGGAGTCCAACTCATGATAATGCAGTTGGTCTGGGGCCTCACGTGAAGAGAGCTTGGCTGGTCCGGAACCTGAGACTCTAGGGTTCAAAAAAACAAACCAAAACATCGTGAATACATCTCCTAACAGAATCAGTAGCCTGCAAGGTCCGCCTCTTAAAGCAAAACGTAATATCATAATCTACGGGTGCTCAAGTGGTATATCAGTTCTTGCCGAAACTCTTTGTTTCAGCAGGTAACATTTTCCATGTTTAATTTGACTTTCGTCGAATTTCTTAAGTATGAAATGATACTGAATTCCCTTCATAGGCACTTTTCCCCTATGCATACATCTTTAGTTTCTGTGTGTGTATGTGTGTGTGTTTCCATACATTTTTTATTAGGCATCATTAATGAAGGATGATGTCAAAGCAGATATAAGAATAAAAGATGGGTAATATAAAGTCAAAAACTGTCTTGCCCAAGTATTATTTACTCTGATTTACTTAAAATTGAAAATAAATGTCAACATTTCTTGGAAAATTATTTGGGGAACCAATTTCAGGCATGATCCCCTAGTCTGACTCGGATGGTGCTTGACTCAAGTCGCATTGCCACTGTGAGAAGTGCATGTATTGCGAAAGAAGGAGAGACAGTGTTGTGAATTAAAGCCGCACAGGGTTTGGTGTAAGGCAAATTTGGTCTACTTCTAGGCTCATCTATTTATGTATGTGTGACCTCAGAAAATGATTTAACTTTCCTTTGCTTCTCTTCTAATTCAATGGGCATGCTATTAAAAATTGATTAGGTGCTAAGCTCTGGATGTTAGAGAGGTTTTAGATACTCTCAAGCAGCCAAGCAGCGAGCCCTTATCTTTGCGCAGCCTCAGTCCCCTCTCTGGTAGGATGAAGAAGACAGGGTGTTGAGAAGCTTTAATGAGATCATGAATGGAAGTACACTCATTATGAGTAGCAGATACATTCTCAAATGATGCCAGAGAATGTGTACACCACTCAGATTTTCTTTTAAAAATGCTTAGTATTATAAATTGGCATTCTGATTTTAGTATTATTGCCGGAGCCACATGATTCTGTCCCTGAAAGAAAGATCCTTTTTCTTACTTTTATTCAATTAACAAATATTTATTGTATGTCTATTATGTTTGAAGTATGCAAGTAGGTAGCTATGATGTTAGGATACAGCGTGGATGAATAAAGCAGACACACTACCTGGACTCTTGAAGTTTATAGCCTAATGGGGAAGACAGACAAGTAAAAATGGGTCATATATAGTATGATTAATACTTTGATATATTAATACAAGCATGTGGGGCTTATTTGTTGGAAATCATGGAGATTTTCTAGGAGGAAAGGATATAATAAAGAATGTACCCATTTAAACTTCAATAGTCAGTTAGGTGTCTAGTACAGTGTCTTACAATTACTCAAAAACAAACAAACCAAAAGCTAAACTAACTGCTAGCAAGTTGATTCTGAGTCGTGATGTCCTTCTAAGGACAGAGTAGAACTGCCCCACGGGGTTCCTGAGGCTGTGACTCTCTATGAGCACAGAAAGCTTGCCTTTCTCCCAGCGAGCAGCTGGTGAGTTTAAGATTCTGATCTTGTGCTTAGCCACCCAGCACACACCTCTTTATATCCCTACAACTAAAAAAATGTAGCAGTCATCTAAACCTTATTCAAACTATTTTTGTTCATTATTTTTGTCCTAAGGACACTTTCTGAAAGTGGCACAGAGCAAATTATGCAAAGGAACTTGATGGTCAAGGGTAATTTTGCAAAACAGTTTTTTAGCTTCAATGTAATAGCAAAAGTGGAAGCAAGCCACGTCCCCAACTTTATCCATCTTCTCCATGCACACTTCTACTCAAGTGATGGGAGCATGTCTTTTCTTGAAGTGTTTCAACCAGCTACCCGATCACCAGCTTTTCTAAAGATGCTGCCTTGTAAAGGGGCAGCATCAACAGCTTATTCTAAAGATGCCCCTTTGAGCTCAAAGGGGACATGCTACAGTTCGCCTATCTCGAGGAAGCCTGTGATATCTTATATATTGAAAACAAATAAACAAACAGAAAATCCTAAAAAGCGACACTTTATTCTAAAAAGCTACACTTAAGTATGGATGTAATCTATAACAGCAGAAACACAATGCTTGTAAAGTGTTTCACACTATAACCCTAAGTAAAAGTAAGGAAAGATGACAAGAAGGGATCAATACTTTTCAACCCTATAGTCAAAGAAAGTTTAATAGTATCCTTAGAATAATGGACTCTACCCGGAATTCTGGTCAACACATATGAAGCTTTTGCAATAACTGCTGGAACACTCTAACCTTTCTAGCCTTATATATATTAAAAAACAAACAAAACCAGACTAAATTCTACTCAATAAGAGCTACATTTACAACTTAAAAATCTGGAAACATAATAACGAATGGCAATATTCCACATCTTTTAGAATAAATGGAAACGCGGTGTAAAATGTTTACAGAACAGTAAGTATGTTCCCATTTTTCAGCAAAGCACAGTACAGTTCCCTTGCAATGTGGTTAAGTTAGCAGTCAGTGGGGAGACAGATCCATCAGTGCCTGGAGGGTACCATGGTAATGAGCACACAAGCTGGCTCTTGAGGCAAATGAGCTATTAGCACTCAAGATTCATCTATCTTTATCCTTTCCTGCATAAAAATAGTTTCAGTCCTACATCATAACTTTAAAATAATTTTAACATTTAAAAAGTAGTAATGTTAACACATAAGAACACATACCATTTCTCCATCTAAATATTGAATGGCTATTTAATCAGAGACCCTGCTGACTGTGTAGGGTAGGCATTGGGATGCTAACTGCAAGCTCGATAGTTCAAACCCATTAGCCACTCCAAGGGAGAAAGATGGGCCTGTCTGCTGGCGTAAAGGTAGATAGTCTCGGCTTGAGTGGTTATGACATAGCCACGCATATGGGGTGGCTATGCGTCAGAGTTGACTTGATGGCAGTAGGTTTGATTTTTGGAACATCCAAATCAGGTCTCACTGGGTTCGAAGAAAGAATGCCTACCAAGGCAGTATTAGATCAAACCCACAGGTGGTGACTTTATTCTGATACATGTAAGACAGAGAATGACCCTAGAAGGTTTCCAAAGCTAGCAATCTATACAAAGCATACTGCGAGACTTTTCTCCTGGGAGTAGCTGGTAGGTTTGAATCGTTTACCTTCTTGGTATAGCTCCATATTTTTTACCTCTGCACTATTAGGACTTCTCATATTATACCTAGACCATGCATAAAAGATGGCCTCATAATAAAGATTACTGTGTTAGGAGATCATTCATAATCTAGAATAGCTCATTCATCTATATCCACTCACTCCTTAATGTAAAAACAAATGGCAATTTTCCTGTGATACTACCTGAGTGAGCTTTCTCTAACACAGATGACCTTATGGGCCATGAAAGTGGTTATTACAGGAATGAACTATCAAATGTCAATTTAGAAAATGTGCTGTGGAAGTACAGGAGTACCCTTGTTTGTGGGTTGACACTGAAATTGGCTGCTCTGAAGCACACGCAGGTTTTATAAGTATCTCTAGGGCAATGATTACCTACACAACAAGCACAAAGCTCAGGACAATTATCAGATAATTTGAAAACAAAGAACATATTTTGCTTAAGATATCCAAATTAATTAGGCCAAAAATGACTAGTAGAATTTGAATTATCAAGATAGCTAGGTCAACTGCCATTCTTGATTATACTTTGGAAATATGGGTTCTGTCAGTTTTATTAGGTTCTAAAGACCATAGATTAGTTTTGGAGAGATGATTACAGCTTCCATTAATGTGCCCAGTACTGTTCTCAGACAGCACACTAGAAACTTGTTAGATCAATCCCTGTGACATTTCAACAATTACTGTATATCTCCTACATCAGCAGTTCTCAACCCGTGGGTCGCAACGCCTTTGGGGGTCCAACGACCCTTTCAGAAGGGTCACCTGATTCATAACAGTAGCAAAATTACAGTTAAGAAGTAGTAACAAAAATAATGTTATGGTTGGGGGTCACCACAACATGAGGAAATGTATGAAAGGGTCGCCGCATTAGGAAGGTTGAGAACCACTGCTCTATACGCTAGACACCAGTTTAGGTACTGGGGATATGGTGTGAATGGATTTGTGAGGGGGGGGGGTGGAGGTGGAGTTAAAACAGGAAATAAGTAAACTAGGAAATTGTGGGATTTTGATAAGTGCTGGACCAAAAGGTTAGTAACTGATTCATAGAGAAACTCTTTCAGAACCTTGATAAGAGAAGGAATGTGCACGTTGCCCTAGGGATGGACTGATCTTAGTAGTGGGAGAAACCAAAGAAATTCACTCTGCCTGAAGGGGATGAGGGAGGTAAGGAGAAAACAGAAGAAGGTAAAGAATGGACCATTCGATAGATCCTTGTAAACAAGGCGAACCAAGTAAAGTGTGGGACTTAGAGTTTATTCTAAATACAAGGAGACCACATTGAATCATCAGCCCCCATGATCTCATCGATGTTTTTGTTTGTCTACTTGAAAGGAATTTGGGGAAAAGAACAAAGAGAAGATGGGAGACTATAAAAACGTATACACAAATATCAGGTAGTTGTGAAGATGAAATAAAGCAAATACTTTGGGGTATTTAGGAGGAGGCCTCGTGGTGTGCTGCGCTATGTGTTGGGCTGATGAGCACAAGGTGAAAGAAAGAAGGAAAGGGAGAGAAACGCAAGCTCACTGGCCTCACGACCATTCTGATTCATAGTGACCCTGTGGGATAGAGAAGAAATGCCCCTGTGTCTTTCCAAGATGGTCACTTTGTCAGACCAGAAAGACTCAGCTTTCTTTCTCAGAGCTCCCATGGCGGTCAGCAGTCCAGTGAATAACCATTGCACCCCAGGGCCTCGAAACACAAAGTCAGCACTTCCAAACCACCAGCTCCTTCTTGGGAGAAAGATAGTGGTTTCTACACTCGTGAATTTACAATACTAGAAATCCATACGGGAAGTTCTACTCTGTCCTATCGAGCTGTTATGCATCAGAATTAACTTGATGGCAGGGAGCATTTT